GGTACTGTAGAAAAATGACGAGAAAGGCACAATCATCAAGGAGCTTTTGAAGTATCCCAGTAATGGATGGGGAGCTCTGGTAGCATAGTGGCTATGGCACTTGACTGCTAACCAGAAGGCTGGCGGTTCAAATCCACCAGCCACTCCTCGGAAGGAAGATGGGGCAATCTACTTCCGTAGTGATACTGTCTCAGAAACCCAAGGAGGGGTCGCTATGAGTCGGGTCGGACTCGACGGCACATAACAACAACAACAAATGAACTTTAAAGAAATGGAAGATGAAGGGGAATGATTCTGGTTCAAGAACAAAAGAGAGCAGTGATGGGCAGTTAGTTAACCATTCTGCCTGTCAGCCTGTCACTCAGATGGTTGTCAAACCTCAGAGATGCAGTGGAATCCAACAATTTAAAGGAGGCAAAAAGGAATGACTGAAACCCAATGTATTTTCTCCCTCTGTTTTTCACGTGACATTGTGAGTCCACTGGAATCTATGAGCTCAGTAGCAGTGAGCAATAGCATCCTCTGCACATAAATCAGTTACTCCTTAGTTCATCATTAGTCATGTACATACATCAGTACATCATTAGTCCTCAGCATAGCTGCTGGTGGCTAACAGGGATAGTACTGGTACCATGTTTCATGGACATCAACAGGCTAATACTGTTTTTGTAATTATATGTGATAGAAAATATTGTCCCACTGGACAATCAGGGAAAAACATTATGTAGGCAAAAATACACAAGGCCTAAACTCTGGCCCTGTGACCTTTGTGAACATGCTAATCTCCCTGTGCTTACACTGAATTTCTTACAAAGTTGTGGTCAGGATCAGTTGAGATATGATTTAATATTCTTATGAAATTTTCCAATGGGACAAAGCAGGCAAGGATAGTTAAAACAGTCACTTAATATACTTCATTATTTCAACAACTGTTTTATCCATGGATGGAAATATATCATCTAATTAGAAGTTACTGAACGTATACAGTACTACTTTGACAAGTGGAAATGATAGCCAAAAACCAGTAAGTGAAAATCTAACAGAATTAATAAAGACCAATCAACTGCATTAAAAAAAAAAAAAAAGATTTAAAATTTTTTACTAGACAGTTCTTAAAAGGAAAAAAAAAAAAAAACTAGGTGTTTTGGCTGACTGCCTATCTACTAAGAGCTTATAGTGCCTATAGCATCAGGCTAAATAAACACACCTCAAGATGTGGACATAAGAGAAAAGAAAAGTTCACTACCTGTAGGTGTCAACCTGGATGCTGAAACCTGGGGTACTACAATGTCCCCAGACATGGAAACCCTAGAAACACTGTTTAATGAGAAAAGGATGTTTGACCCAAAAAACAACTTGTTGTTGTTATGTGCCGTCGAGTCCGCCCCAACTCATAGCGACCCCTCCTTGGGTTGCCGAGGCAGTATCACTACGGAAGTAGATTGCCCAATTTTCCTTCCGAGGAGTGGCTGGTGGGTTTGAATTGCCAGCCTTCTGGTTAGCAGTCAAGTGCCTTAGGTACTATGCTAACTTAAAGCTAATATAACAGATGTTCTCAAATATCGAAAGTAGTTTGAAATGTAGGGGGAGGAACTAATTAATTTTCTGCTGCTCAAGGAAATAACACTACAACTGTTAAATGGGAATTATAGATGCACAGAAGTTGACAGTAAATGTTAAAATAAGAAAACATAAAAAATGAAAAACTGATAGGGTCATTGGAAGTGCTAAGTAAAAACTGGGTTACTAATATATAGGCTTTAGCATAGTATAGCTTCCAAGAGTAAATGTGACCAGTGACCTCTTATGAGTGAGAATGAGCTAAAAATATATACAAAAGAACAGGTATTTTTCTGTGTCATGCTGACAAAGCTTTGCTGAAAATTTCAAGTACAATTATATAGCTGAACTGGTTTATTTTTTATTTATCATTTTATAAGGTTCCTATACAAACTATAGGAGCTCTAGTAGCATAGTGCCTAAGGCATTTGACTGTTAACCAGACGGCTGGAGGTTCAAACCTACCAGCCACTCTTCGGAAGGAAGGCTGGGCAATCTACTTCTGTAGTGATACTGCCTCAGAAACCCAAGGAGGGGTCTCTATGAATCAGATATGATTCCACGGCAGTAGGTTTTTTTTGTTTTTGTTTTTGTTTTTAATATATACAAACTATAAAACTTGAAATTATAAACTCTACGAGAAAAACAAAAATCATTCTGCCTCCCTGACTCACACATCAACCTTGCCTCACTTAATATGCTTCATTATTTCAACAACTGTTTTATCCATGGATGGAAATATATCACCTAATTAGAAGTTACTGAATTCATGAACTTCATCATTATTACTGTGTTTTTAATTACATTGTCACAAGTAATCAGAACTACATTTCTTGTTATTTTATACACAAGAATAATTCAGTATGGACATGAGAACTATAAACAGGACTTTTCAAAGTCATTAAAAGGAAATCATACCTTCTGGGCTTCTACCTTCACTGAGTTAAATTCAGGATTTAAGGCAAGGCAGTAGAGACACTCCTTCAACATTTCTTTAGTTCTTCCCAGTCCAGAAAGAGCTTGAGCTTGCATATGATGTGCCTGTATTCACCAAAATATAAGGTATACATTTAAAAGACAGCATGATATATGCTTCCATACAAACAGCCCTGATAAAACCATTACAATTATTTGTTTTGATTTTACATCAAGTAGAATACACAAAAGCCCACCGAGAATGGCTCTACCTCTACTACATCTCCCTACCTTGGGCACTTATTAAACTTAAGGGTCTCACAAATACAATCTGCAATAAGAACATAGAAGTTACCATACCCAGCATTTGCTGCCCAAAACAGCTCCAAGCAACATGCTAAGAGAGAACTGCCTGTCCACCAATATTCATTAGTAGTTACATGTCACTATTGTATTCCTGCTTTCAAGAGTTTACAGTCTTGTAGGCAGACATGTCTGATAACTACTATACTACAAAGCACAATATATTAAGTACTATGACAGAAATGAACAAAAAGCATCATGAACCAGTGATTTCCAACAGCATTTTGTTTCTGTTTTATAGAGGTAATATTTTCTCAAATTTTTGAAAATGTCATCGTTTTTCACTAGTTCGAATGAATTGTATTTCCACTAGGGTCAGGTGCTCTGATTATTTATTTTGGTCTTTCACTTTGTGCTACTGCAGTGTAGTAAATTACTTACTATGGCTCTTCTACCCATAAGTCATTGTAAACTCAGTGGTGGAATGAGCAACTGAGGAGCTCCTGATTGTAAATGTTATCTACCTGGGCTTTTCTGTTGGGCGTGGCACAATGCAATGTTATGGGAGGCTCACTCTCAGGTACTTAGAATTCTGTTGTTATGATTGGTTGGTTTGGCCACTCTGCCAAGCTCAAAAGGAGGCCTCCTGGAGGCAGAACTCTCTCTCTGACTGCTGGTTGAGGAAGATGTGCTGCTGATAGAGACACACGCTCCTGAAAGAGACATATGCTGCTGGGAAAGAGATGCAAGAGACACGCATTGCTGAGTGAGACACCGAGGGACCAGCACTGCTGGGAAAGAGACTGTGAGAGACTGTTGGCTGAGGGATGGTGGGCTAGGAGAGAGACTGAGCATTTTTCCTGAACTTGAATTGTAGCCTGGTGCTTCCCTAATAAACCCCATAATCTGTGAGTTCTGCATGGCCACTGCAGCGAATTATCGAACCCAGGAGAGAGGTGGTGGGTGCTTTGGGAGGAATGGTTGGAGAAAGGGTTGGAGGGAGGCAGCATGTCTGGCCTGGCAGGAATAAGCCTTGGGCTATTGATGGTGATTCTGTCTTCCTCTTGTGGGATCAGAGGAGGTCAGAACATGTGGCCTCCTTGCCGTTTTTGCAGTTGGTGTCAGAAGCGGTGGGATTCGATGCAGTGGCTCCAGACTCATAGAAGCACCAGCCTTTGTAAAAGAAAGAAGGAAAGGGCCTGGGAAGTGAAACTTTGGATCTTAGATGGTTACTTTGTTTGGTGTTGCCTCTTAAGGGAGATAATTGATCCAGAGGCTAGGGCTTTTGGTTACACCCAGCCAAAGGCCCAAGGCCATATGCATAGAATGGGACAGTAATCAAGGTGAAGAGATGAACCTGGAATGTCTTTAAAAGGATTATGTGTTTTGGATTATGTGTTTATCTGAATGTACTATGGCTACTGAATGTTCTCTTACCTGCTTGTACATTAGAAACAATTACAGGGTATGTGGATAACAGGGAGTATGAAAGTCTGCCTTCAGCCAATACATGATTGGATATGTTAAAAGGGGAAACAGAATTTGCCCAGCAGAAACACAGGCTTTTGTTTTAAGCCCTGTGTGTAGAGAGTACTAGGAGTTTAGGTAGAAAACCTGAGCCCCACCCAGTACTAATGAGGGAACAGAAGATTTGCATTTGAATAAGAACCTGAAAAGGAAAAAAAATGACTGTTTGGCTCTTTGAATTTCAAGCAAGCTGACTGGTTTTGGGTGCATCCACAAGGGAAAGTCATGGTCAGTGAGAGAAACCCCTTCCATGACTGAAAGTTAAAGGAAGCCAGTGAGTAGTAGACTTGTATGTTACTTGCTTGTGACCATCTGGATCCACCTGAGTGAAAGTGGGGGAAGTACAGCAAAGAAGAAACAGGCTGAGTTTGGTACTCTTTGACCTAGGCCCAAAGGCTGGGGATGAGAGGAAGGGCTGGCTGGTCTGAAGTGCAATGAATTGTGAGCCTACGGGCAATGAAATAGTCCCTGAGGACTGAAGATGTGAGAGAAGGTGCTGGCTGGTCTGAAGTGAAGGGAAGAGTGTGACTCCCAAACTTGGCAGCTGGTACCCATGACCTAGCTGGGATGGCTAGGGCTAAACTGACCAGAACCCGACCAAATGAAGAGGAAGATGTTTGACACGGAGCTGGTGTTAAGTTGCTGCAATTTGATGGCTTGAGCTGGGCTGGACTTTGCTTGTTTATGGATCCACATGCCTGAAGTTTCCAAGCAGAACAGAAGATTCTCCAGAGAGAGAGGACCATGCTTCCTCAAAGTACTGGTTTGATAGGGATAGGCAAATTAGAAATTGGCTATTTAAAATGGGGGGAGATAAAGGCATGAAGTGACTGGCTTACACACTTTCATGGGTTTGGTTATTCTTAAACTGATGGTGAAGGGGATTTTTTGGGATGTGAATTTTTGAAGTATAAAAGGGATAATGGCTAGAAAAGCCAGGGGGTGGCCTGGAGTGTAGTAAATTACTTAGTATGGCTCTTCTACCCATTAAGTCATTGTAAACTCAGTGGTGGAATGAGCAACTGAGGAGCTCCTGATTGTAAATGTTATCTACCTGGGCTTTTCTGTTGGGCGTGACACAATGCAATGTTATGGGAGGCTCACTCTCAGGTACTTAGAATTCTGTTGTTATGATTGGTCGGTCTGGCCACTCTGCCAAGCTCAAAAGGAGGCCTCCTAGAGGCAGAACTCTCTCTCTGACTGCTGGTTGAGGAAGACGTGCTGCTGAAAGAGACATGCGCTCCTGAAAGAGACATGTGCTCCTGAAAGAGACATGTGTTGCTGGGAAAGAGAAGCAAGAGACACGTGTTGCTGAGTAAGACACCAAGGGACATGCACTGCTGGGGGAGACACTGTGAGAGACTTGGCTGAGAGATGGTGGGCTGGGAGAGAGACTGAGTGTTCTTCCTGAACTTGAATTGTAGTCTGGTACTTCCCTAATAAACCCCGTAATCTGTGAGTTGTGTGTGGCCACTGCAGTGAATTATCGAACCCAGGAGAGAGGTGGTGGGTGCTTTGGGAAGAACGGCTGGAGAAAGGGCTGGAGGGAGGCAGCATGTCTGGCCTGGCAGGAATAGGCCTTGGGCTATTGATGGTGATTCTGTCTTCCTCCTGTGGTATTAGAGGAGGTCAGAACATGTGGCCTCTTTGCCGTTTTTGCAGCTACTGAATCTTTTCCTGTTGATCCCTGGTTGGTTGCTCATATTTAAGAATGCAGAACTCTTTCTCTTACAGGTTTCCTCTGCTAATGAGTAGGTGAGACTATTTTCCTCATAGGCCTCACTGCTGAAAGGGAAGACCTGGGTACTTTGTACAGGTGAGACATATTTGGGAGGTTTCATTTTTAGGTGTCTGGGAGGGGAGCTTAACTCCAGGATGTAGAGGGCTTTACTCTGGGGGCTGTACCTGATGTGTAGGCAGCCATATCTTCCTCAAGCAGTTTTTTCACATTCTTTGGAAGGGAGAGCTAGGATTATTTTCCACTACTTCTTTGCTGGGTGGGGGGAGCACATGAGGGGGGTGTAAATTGGTACTGTCAAGCAAACCTCACTTCTTACTTCTATTCTCAGAACCTGATTCTCTCTAAAGTTTCTATTAAAACACAAGATCAGTTCTGTAATTTCCTTTGCTCTTTCATCCATTTACATATCTACATTCTAAAAATTTGTTGAACTCTAATCCAATAAATATTTTCCATTCTCTTCAGTTATAAGCTTATTCTTGTTTATAGTTCCTTATTGTCACATTTTTATGGAGGTAAAATTTTCCTACAATAAAATTCACCAAATTTAGATGAACAATGTGATGAGTATTTTGATAAAATGTATACAGTTGTATAACTACCACCACATAACCATGACATAGCACATTTCTATCACTTCACAAATTTCTCTCATGTTCTGTTAAAGTCAATCTCTCTCCCTAGGCCCAGTAGCCACTCATCTACAACTACTGTTTTGCCTTTTTGAGAATATCACACAAATGGAAACAGAAAGCATGCAGTCTTTTTTTGTGTCTTCCTCACTTAAGATTTATCCTGGTTTTTGCATATTATCAGTACTTCATTTCTCTCTATCAACCAAGTAGAACTTCACTGTATAGAATTTTTTTTTTTTATACAATTAGTTCACCCATTCACTTGCTGATGAAAATTTGTGTTATTACCAGTCTTTGGCTATTATGAAGTAAATTGCTATGAATATTTGCATACACATCTTTGTATGCTTTGTTTTTACTTCTGAGAAAATACCTAGGAATATGACTGTCAGGTCATACAATAAACACAAACTTAACTTTGAAGAAACTGCCAACCCATCTTCCAAAAGGCAAGTACCACTTTTTATTCTCACAAGCTATGTATGTAAGAGTTCTAAGTGCTCAACATCCTCATCATGTCACTATCCTCACACGGTCACTCTTTTTAATTTAAGCAGTTCTAGTAGCTTTCTCTCTCTCTGGCACATAACAACACAACAACAACAGTGGCTTTGTAGGGACTTTTCATTCAGGCTTTAGTTTGCATTTCCCTTCCCTAAAGACTAACAGCATAGAGCATATTTGCATATGCTTATCTGAAATTTATGTGGCTTCTTCAGTGACATATGTGCTGAAATCTCTTACTCATTACTTAACTGACTTGTGTGGATTTATACTGACTCGGTAAGAGTTCTTTATATACCATGGATATGAATCCCTTATCAGATATATGCTTTGCAAATATTTTTTTCCATGCCATTTGCCTTTTTGTTTTTGAAAAGAATATTTTTTTTTTTGATGAAGACTAATTTACAGACTGT